CTTCAAAGAAATCTGCAAGAATGGCACGAGAGGCCATGGACTTATGTTTATAATTGCTAAAGGAAAGAAACAATAGTAGGTTCGACAGCTACAGTGTCAGGAAAAGGTTATTATTCATATCCCATATTACCTTTCGGGATTGTCGCGTACACATTTTTTCCGACAACCTTGCTCGAAATAGCTGTATACATGTATTCTGAGCGACTATATCGGAACGTGCTCATGCCCGCTGGGCATCCCATAATACTCCTTAAATCTAATAAATTCAATATGGCCGCCGTATCGGTAAAAAGGTCATGCCCATACCCTCATTCAAAACAAAATGCTATCAAATTTTAGTTTCCAGGCCGTTTTTACGCCGGCACGAATTGGAAAACAATACTGGATAGGGATTCTGCTCACACGTGAGAACGACGGTGATTTCAGCGCGATTTCTGTAACGGAGCGGAGGCGAAGCTGCGCCGCGTCGATCCCATGTCTGAAGTGTAGAGTCACATTATATCGGATAGCAGCTGTTCACTTGCGGTACTATTTTATTTTCAGTATTTTACACCATGAGATTAACGGGAAAGGTGTTTTGTAAAAGTGAATTTTAATTTAGGGCACTCAAAGGAGAAACATGGTTTAGCAATTTAGAAGCTACTTCAAAGACAATTAACTAGCAATTACAGCCGATTACAGGCATTCTTCAGCACGTGGGCTGAATTGCCAAAAACTTTTCTTATGTTAAGTGAGTATTTAATACTGCTTTAAGTAGATTCTGTTTTGGTTACAAACGAGGAACATATAGTTTTCACCCGCTTAACACATTATGTCCCTATTAACTTTAACGGCTTCCTGTCTCACGAAGCCTCACGCGAACACTGGCAAATAAAACGGTTGTTTTCGTGCATGGCGGTCTCACTACATAAATTCATGAACCGACATGAATTAATCGTTCTTGCATGGAATAATGTAAACTTATTGCTTTGCATGCGTTAACGAACCTGTTGCAAAGGAGCTGCCTCAAAAAATTTATCAAAAGATGAGCAGTGGAAACTGTCACCAAACAAAAAAGACCTCAAAACATCAAGGGAAGGTAAAGAAGTTATAAATAACACAGACTGGATGAAAGAAGACACTGATTGACAAACTTGTCGGCCTAACAGTTTGTTTTTAAAGTTCATCTTTTTGTTGCTTGTAGCGTTTAATATAGTGCTTTTGGGAGGCTAATTTGTTTGACACGAAGCAAGTGTGATTTTGTCATTTTCAAGTAATTTTTCTTCGCTAACGTTATTAGTCCCATCGCGAATAATGACACGTGATTGACAATATTAACATTAACTGAACTAGAGAGCCGCACCCACAGCCCCTTAAGGTTTGCGGACATGGCTCCATGGCACGAACGCGTTCCATAACTAATAAGCCGATAAGAGATTGCGACTTGTACTTGTAAAATTCATCAAAACTCGAATGTTGGAGTAGACTACGAATAGTCCTTCAGTTTGAGCGAGAGAGACACTCGAACGCGCGGGAAAATCGCCGCACGCCAGGAGAGGCCAGGTCACTCGCGGGTGGCGATTTTCACGCAATTTCGTTTTATGCTCTTTCGGCTTTACGTGAAAAAATGAGGGTCTACTCGGATTCTAATCCTTGAGAGCAGACACTTATCTCTCTGCATGATCCCACTCAGAATGATCGTTTCTACACAATGTGCCTTTTAATCCAAGGGTCCATTTTGGTTACGCGGTTCGTAGTCATAATTGTTCTCTGTACACCCTCCTAAATAGTTAATTTTCTTCTCTTGGTTTCAAATGGTAAACATGTCAAGAGTTACTGGTTATTTATCTCTTAGTACACATGTATCTTAGCAGCGTTCAAATGCGTTAATTAAATTTTCAAATCAGCGAACGCACTTTAATTCGCGACACGTAGTAAACAGACAAAAGAAAAATATTAAAAAGAACGATCATCTTTTTCTAATCAACTTCTTATCAACACAAGCCGCCTAAACTTACTGTTGGTCGCACATCAATTGGAGAAGAAGTTACTTAAAACTGTGTATTATACAGGTGGCTTTGCGCGTGACGTTAGTTGAAATCAATTGTCATCAAGGACAATACATTTAAACGGATTATCGCGTGCCCTCGTGTTTCACACGTGTTCGGCGATTAGTTAATTATGTTCGAAGACAGGTGGCTAAGGCAGTATGAGCCAGTGAAATGAATGCTCTTTTGGCACGGCTCGGCTCTCTGGTTCGTGATATAAGTATTTTATGTCAGGATATTTTTGAATCCGCCAATTTTCTTTGCGGATTCAAAAATTTCCACGTCCACATGTGTCCGCATTCACTCTCAGTTCGTCAGCTAATTGTAAAGTGTTCTCCGGCTCATGCAAAAATTTCATCGCCGATCTTCGTCAATAACTGTTTCATTGACAAAATTGTCCCACCAAGCACTGTTTCGCTAATTTAACTTGTTTACTGCTCCCACTTCGTCCGTCCGACATGAAAATAAGCTTCAAAATGTCGAGTCGCATTGCCACAATTGAAGTGTACAGTGATCAGGGTTTAATTGCACACAAGTTATAGGACTTGAAACTGAAGTCCAAGAAGTGAAGAAGCGATAATTTTCGCTCTGTTTTCTTGAATATTCACGGTAAAGAACTGGGCACGATCTTGTGACGTCACTGGATAAAAAATATCCTGATTTAGCGTCCACGCGATTCCGGATGCATAGTAGACTCGTACTCAGTCCCTTTTTATGTGTTTTTGGAGTGAGAGAAGATTGGGTTTAGGTTGAGGCGCGCGGGGACTCATAAATAAAACAAATAACGATTTGGAGGTAGCACATAATGGTTCTTCGTCTACCTGATTCCTGATCGAATTGGAATTTGGAGACGTTGGTTTTTGAGGAGATGGGAAAACCAGAGTACCTGGAGAAAAACCTCTCCGCGCAAATGAGAGAACTAACAACAAACTCAACCCATATATGGCGTCGACGAGGGGACTCACGGGAAGGGTCCCTTCCCACGAGTCTCCGCGCGTTCCAAGCTAACCCCAATCTTCTCTCACCCCAAAAATATACGAGTCTGGATTCATATCGTATTAAAAAATTTCCACTCTGGGGAGCGGATTCAAAAATTTGCTGGTTCGCATTCCGGATACACCGAATCCGCAAACGAAAAGTTGGGCATTCAAAAATATCCGGATACGCGTGGACGGGGCCTAAAGCTACAGTTTGAAGAAAAATTTGCGTTACATGACAACGTTTCTTCTGTCAAAACTCTGTCATGAAAAAATGTTTTGAAAGTTCGATCGCGCTGGCAAGAGCCTGCCCACGAGGCGTTTTCCCCCCGATTAAATTCAACTTTCGCAGTTGGAGGCAACCTGATCTTTCACTCTTCTATCTACTGCTTCAATCAAATTTTCCCTGCTCCCTACTGGGCTTGGTAGCCAACTTGTGGGCAAATCAATCGATTTTAAATCCAAAATTAAAAGAAAAGGGATGTTTCTCTGCCCCATCGAAAGTGTTTATGAGCGATTAAATCTGCCAAGGGTTTGGAGCGCGTTGGTTCGACTCCCGCGTGTTTTGGCTTTCTTATTAATTTTATTGAAATAGTTCTGATAATTTTGGGTGTTTCTTGGGTTTTTAATAATAATGATAATAATAACATCGTGCGCGCTAAAAATAGCACTCACTTCCAAGGCAACTGTTGTCTAACTGTTGGAACTCAGCCCGTGTTTTGATTGGACGTCAGTAATGACGTTTTAAAACAATGATATTCCAGAACGTCCCCGATACCGTTACACGTTTATGCAATTGTTTACGTTTCCTATGCTTTTTTGTTTGTTGTCTGTCTTTCTATTTTTCTTTTAGGGCAAATGTTCCGAGAGGAATCAGATAGCTTATGATGGTTCACTTTACAAACAGTGTTCTCGCGTTCCGGTTTGGGGCAATGGTTTGGCTGAAAGGCAAAGGAATTGGAGAGACTAGAGGGGCTTCCTTGTCGTGTTGAGTGCTGCTAATACAAACTCTTCCACTCCTATGAGTAAAAGACAAATTCCCAGTGCACTGATCGAAATTCCATGATTGGGTCCCATAGTCCCACTGTATTTGCAATGTCAGCAGATTCTGCACTACAGTTTATTTCTAACAGCACCATTCAAATCAAATTTAGACGTGAAATAAATCACACAAGATGTTTGAAGTTGACTTATCTTGCAATTTCTATAGTTGCTGTATGGGAATGTTTGCCGCATCAAAAGGAAAAATACAAGAATCGTGAGAAGGGTGTGTTCACGGCAACATTATATTATATTAGGCCCGTTTCAAACGTCGTGCTACTACCTTGCCGAACTCAATCGATCGAATTAAATTCGACTTTAGCACGGCAGTAGCGCGACGTTTGAAACCAAGTCGAGCTACTGTCGTGTAGCACGGCAGGGCTTGCCGTGCCGAACTCAATTCATAAATTATAAATACATTAAAATACATTTAAAAGTTTACTAAACCGTTTCTTTGTTTTTTGTGTCTTGTTTTCGTCAACAGCTGTTCTATTCGACTGAATTAAATTCGACGTCTGAAACCAAGTCGTGCTACCGCCGTGCTGCAGTCGAGCCAGCTTAGCACGGCAGTAGCACGACGTTTGAAACAGGCCTTACTGAGCAGTAGTTGTGAGGAAGAAAATGGGCTGGTTAAACATCCATCCTTTGTCAAACTAAATCCTTGATGGTCAAAAAGAGATCATGCATTTTACTGCGAGTCGTCATCATCAGCAGAAACTGTTGGAAGCATGGCTCTCCAGCAAGCGCCACGGTTTTTTTGGGGTCGTGGGTTTTTTCGCTTTGAGGATCTGGATGGCGTGAGTTTGCAGTCCCCACTTCTCTTCGACGACGTCGCGTTCTGATTGGCCGTTGCTCTGGACTCCTCCTCAGGAGCGTCCTCTTGTTCTTCAGTACTGACGATCAGGGGTCGCGGATTTTTCCGCTTTGAGGAGCTCGGTGGCGAGGGGTTGCAGGCCTCGCTATTGTTCCTGCTTCTTTTCGACGGCGTCGCGTTCTGATTGGCCGTTGCTCTGGACTCCTCCTCAGGAGCGTCCTCTTGTTCTTCAGTACTGACGATCAGGGGTCGCGGATTTTTCCGCCTTGAGGAGCTCGATGGCGAGGGGTTGCAGGCCTCGCTATTGTTCCTGCTTCTTTTCGACGGCGTCGCGTTCTGATTGGCCGTTGCTCTGGACTCCTCCTCAGGAGCGTCCTCTTGTTCTTCAGTACTGACGATCAGGGGTCGCGGATTTTTCCGCCTTGAGGAGCTCGATGGCGAGGGGTTGCAGGCCTCGCTATTGTTCCTGCTTCTTTTCGACGGCGTCGCGTTCTGATTGGCCGTTGCTCTGGACTCCTCCTCAGGAGCGTCCTCTTGTTCTCCAGTACTGACGATCAGGGGTCGCGGATTTTTCCGCCTTGAGGAGCTCGATGTCGAGGGGCTGCAGGCCTCGCTATTGTTCCTGCTTCTTTTTGACGGCGTCGCGTTCTGATTGGCAGTTACTCGGGACACCTGCTCAGGGGCGTCGTCTTGTCCTCTAGTTCTGACGACCAGTACCGGTGACTTGGGCGGCGCTTCATCGGTGGAATCAGAAGGTATTGAGATAACTGCATTTACATTAGAGTTACTACCAACCTGCTGTATTGGGGAGGAAGACGTTCCCTGGGCACTTGTCACTGTGCCGACTCTTTCTTCTGGTACCATTGCGAGTCTTCGGGTTGTTTGACGGGTTACTCTGGCAGGTCGATTGTCTTCGTTTTGACTTCTCCACTGTCGTTCATCGATCACAAAAGTCTCATCATCTGATGAAGAAGACGAACTTTCAATAACCCTTCTTCGTTTCACTGGTAAACGTGTGTTGTAAGATCTCTTGCCCTGATCGCGGGACGCTGCCCGCGACTTTGTTGCACTGTGTAAGGACACCAGCTGAGACGCAGCGAAAACTACTTCATTCGTGTCAGTAGACGCCGCGTCCTCCTCTGGCGGAGCTGCCGTGCCCGCCGTTTCCGCAGGGTTGCTCTCCTTTCTAATTGCTGATCCCTTTGCCAATGTACAAAGCTGCTGTGCTGGGGTCGTAAAAGACGCCGTCGAAGCCATCCTCACTGCTGCTAAACCAGGATGCCTGCGTTTTGGATGAGGAACTTGAATTGTCTTTCCACTCTTTCTTTTCTTCGGTCGAGTTTCTTCAGGAGGTTTGGGATAAATACTTAATTTAGGCGGGGGATGTTGTTGAGCAAAGCTTGGTCCAAATTGCGAGGTAAACCTGACTGGAATTTTAGAAAGAAGGGCTGGCCAGAGGAACAAACTACTGAATCGTGAGGATAACAATTTGTACTCGTACGAATTACGGTATGCACGAGACCTTGTAACTGCCGTTGGGCCTTGGTTGTTGTTTTCGACAATACTTGACCCACCGTGAGGTGGTAAACTTGTATTTATTGAGGCGTTTGTTTGTTTATCGGCCCTGAACGAGGCATGCCCCGCTTCGTTTGATGGTGTCTGTAAAGCACTTGCCGGCTGTATGAGTGTTCTATCACTAGGCGCTATTTCAGGAACCTGTTTATTTAACTGGGTGAGTCCAGTTTTTGAAGTGTCATCAGTTGTAATATTTCCAACAGAAACACAGAGACCTGTACTTTCCTTCACATTATTGCTGGGCTTTGCGCCAACTGCACGTGCAACAGTAACCACGCCATGCTCACTTGACGTGGTTTCACTATCACCTGATTTGCTCATGGTTTGCTTGTCTTTCTCTGACTCTACGTCACGTATAACGCGTAGTGCACCGGACTCTTTGTTACCATGGCTACCAGAAGGGACTGCTTGACAGGCCGATGCTAACGGCGGTTGGTGTGCTTGTGATCTTGCTGTGCCGCACTCAGGGGAGGGATTTAACAAGGCAGCTATTCTCTGCAACTCAGGGCGGAGTTGAAGAAGGGCTTTGAACGTTCTCAGAGTTGTAAAGGAGGGTGGAAGAGGAGGAATTGCTGGTGCCCGCGTGCGGGGAGCCTGGCTTGTTGCAGACGGAGTAGCCCTCATTGGCTCCGCTGCTGTAGTTCCATTGTCCTTTCTCGCGCTTTGCAGGCCGATAGGAGTATTCCCTTTATTCGGGTTTTTATTCCCCTGATGATCGCACATATTACTTTTCTCTTTTGGCAACTGCAAGTCTGATTCTGCGTTCTGGAGGTTTCTTTGTCTTCCCTGATCTCCTCTGGTCTGATTTTCTAACATGCCATCACTAGCTTCTCGGTGCATATTTGACTGAGAGATGTTACTTGAGGGCAACTGGGACTTACCAGGAGCATGGCTAGCTTGGCTCTGCTGCTTTCTTGTAGCATCACCCGCTTGTTCCTTCTGTTCATCTACAGCGGCAGTGTTTTCAAGTGATACCGAGGGTTCAGCGGTTGTAGTGACGTTTGTGTGCGACGAGGCAGGGTTGGTCGAAGTGTTCTGAATGGCTTTAAGAACCGTAGGGATGTCGATGCTGAAGGCCTGGGGATAAAAACAAAAGGACCATGTTCATTACCTTCCTCTGAACACATGATCATGCGCGGAAGAAGGAAACAAGCGATGACTGGTCTGAAGTGCTTGTAGCATTGCCTCAAGAATAAGAATGCACAACAATCTCAAATAACGGGCAGCAAGAAGGCGAATCAGGGGGGGGGGCGGTGTCACAACCCTATTTCCACACTCAAGTTTACTCTTGTGCTGGAAGTCAAAGTGACCAATCGCGATATATTCAAATTCATACTTGGCTCCGAGGTGTGGGGGGAATAGAACAAAAGAAATCACGGCGTTCAGGTCCAGGGATAAATAATGCATTTTTTGGTTTCTGTCAAGCCTCCGAGCCCATAAAACGTTTACTATATCGAATTTGGCCTATTTCAAGATTTATAACCAACAGAATGAGTACAGGAGCCTATTACCATAGATGAAAAGGATGTTGTGACCGTTCAATGGCATTTTACGTGCACTAGCTGGGAGATCAGTCAGTCAGTCAGTCAGTCAGTCAGTCAGTCAGTCAGTCAGTCAGTCAGTCAGTCAGTCAGTCAGTCAGTCAGTCAGTCAGTCAGTCAGTCAGTCAGTCAGTCAGTCAGTCAGTCAGTCAGTCAGGTAGGTAGGTAGGTAGGTAGGTAGGTAGGTAGGTAGGTAGGTAGGTAGGTAGGTAGGTAGGTAAGTAAGTAAGTAAGTAAGTAAGTAAGTATAGGCAGGTAGGTAGTTAGTTTGGTATATAGGTAGGTAGGTACATAGGTAAGTAGGTAGGTAGGTAGATTGGTAGGTAGGTGGGTAGGTAGATTGGTAGGTAGGTAGGTACCTACCAATCTACCTACCTACCTACCTACCTACCCACCTACCTACCTACCTACCTACCTACTTACCTATGCACCTACCTACCTATATACCAAACTTACTACCTACCTACCTACCTATACTCACTTACTTACTGATCTCCCAGTTAGTGTAGGTAGGTAGATTGGTAGATTGGTCGGTAGGTAGTTATGTAGGTTGGCAGGTGGGTAGGTAACCTGCCATACCTATCGCCTAATTTAAAGAAATATGTCCATAACACAAATAAAATTAAAATAGGAATAAAAGTGGCTTTTCAACGATGACGTGTGTCAAACTAATTCAAAGGCTGTGGCCAGCATGTTGGCTTTAAAGCCGTTCAGGATGATGCACGTCGTAATTGGAAAGGTAGGCTATTCGACAACATGGCTTTTATCTTAAAACGCAAACTGCACCTAAAATTATCAGCCATAATTTTTTTTAGGAGAGAGTTGAATGGTACCTTTCTGGAGCCTGTGAGGATTCTTTTTGGGGGGTGTTGTTATGGGGGGATAAAACGTCAGGACAAGAGACCCATAATAGGGGTACATTGGTCTACTGGTTTGCGTGACAATTTGTCATGCTGCACCAAAAGCATTCCAATGTTACCGGCGCAGCCCGCAGACGCTCTTAGGGCTTCGTCACGCGTCCCTTCCCCTTTGCGTGACGAGCCAAAAGAACGTCTGCGTGGCAGGCTAAAATTGTCCTCCATTTTAAAATTCGTAGTTAAAGAACGTAGAGATTTGAAATGCCTTCACAGTCTGTTCGAATATTGCCGCCCCTAAAGAACATTAGCAAGCGAAAACGTAACCACCGCCCCTGAAGATCTTTGAAGAACATTATTTTTAGGGAGACGATAGAGGACCCTATTATAACAAACGCCCGGGGGATGTGCCCTGGATACCAGAGGACGAGCATGAATGGAGCAATAATCAAATGGTTGCAAAAGTTGCACTTGAGGAGATCTGCCACAAATATATGCATGTTCTTCCAAACTACTATTCATTTATTTGTTGAGATGGCAAATCTTTGATACGGCAAGAGTATTTGCACAACGCTGGACGCCACGATGAAGGACTCGTAAGTTTCACGTTGCTTGTATAAGGATCCTAAATGGGATTCAATTCGCTCAGTTTCCCAGCTGTAATCAATAAACTTAAAAACTTAAGAGTAATTTACCGTTTGGTGTTGAGGAAAATTTCTTTTCCTCGATCCTCCACGCAGGGAAGGTGAGTCGGGAAACGTAGTTTATCCGTTTTCTATTGTCTTTTTGTTGCACAGGAAATGGTAATTTTCGATTGGCTCTGCCGAAGGCAGCCCAATAAAAATGCTGGGTTTCCGATGAATAGGTTAGCACAAACACGACAATATAATCCAATTAATATTTTCGAGGTCAACCAAGATGATTATTAAGAGGCTATCTTGGTCAAATATCACCGTAGTAAGGCTAAATAAATAAAGAACATGAAAAAAATCAACAACCTGGCTCTTTTTGCGTTTATCTATTCAAACGTCTTACCTGCAGAAGCAGCGAGAAAGGCCCTAAAAAGCCCGACACTGCACTCGTCTTATCCTCGGCAGAAGCACCTTTTTGATTCTTCCTTTTCATTTCGCCAATATTCCTCCGTTTGGTTGGGCTGTTTTTCATCAGTTCACGTTTGGTTGGGCTGTTTTTCATCAGTTCACGGGAATGGGGTTGCTGGATTCTAGCCCTGTTTACTCCCTAATTAAAACACAGAGCAGAAAGCAACAAACGGTTATAAAACTCGAAGGCGTACGAAGGAGTAGGCTCTTCAAGGCCTTAATATAGTCGAGAGCAATGGGAAATCAGTGGCAAGCAAGGAGCGTGAAAGAAAACGTGACAGAGGGAAGAGGGAGAGAAAACGCCCTCTCTTCCTTTCGCATGCCGTTTTCTACCTTTTTTTTACTCTGTCTGCCGTGTTCACCATCTGAAAGCCGGAAAAGGCTCATTAAGGATGCGCTAGACCTGCAAGCTGTAAAAAGTGCGCCATACATGAGACGGTAAATTAGGGCGGGCATTATAAATGCTTTTCATTAGCAAACTATCTTCGTGCTTCCTGCTGGCTGGAATTTTAATTTGTTTAGTTTCATAGCGCTTGCCATTATTCCAGAAAAAGCCCATCTCGAGGAAGAGGACAATTAAGTAGTTGTATTTACTCTTTCATCTATACTCACCGCTTTCCTGTTTCGAGGCTTCTTTGCTACTTCCTTGACCTCTTCATTGTCATCCCTCATATCTTCTGACTCCTCTTGTTCGTCCTCATTTGCCGCCTCTGTTTGCTCTGCTTCTTGTACCATCTTTGCTTTGGCTTCCTCTTCAGCTCGTATTTTCTCTGCCCGTTTCTTCTCTCTAAACCTCTGCCTTGTTAATCTTCGCCTTTCTCGAGACTCTTCTGGTGGAAGCGGGATACGTCCTCTTGCCTTCTTCTACACACAGTTACAGTAAAAACACCCGTGAGTAAGAACCTGTATTTCCCTAAGTTAGCCTAAACAGGTTCTTACATAAATGGTAATTAGCACAAATTTAGGTTCTTAAATAGGTTCATATTTTCTGAAGATAAAATACATTGTGGCTTAGAGTACTTAGTGGTATTCAGCTCATTCCTTATGTAAAACCTGAATACCATTACATTACACTTGGTGTGATAAGGCACCTATGTCTACAAAGAGGACCCTGAATGTTGACTTATCTTATTTGCCCAAGTGTACAGAATTTGTTTCAGTGTAGATTTTAGAAAATAAGAACCTGTTTCAACTTTTAGGCTAAACAGGTTCTTGTATACAGAGGCCTGACTGGCAAATGTTAGCCTGCCTGGTTCTTTAAATCTAGGTTCTTACTTGCGGGGATTTACTGTACAACAACTCAATAAGAACCTTATTTGGAGATAAAGACTAACCGTGCACTAGTTCGTTTTGGAATGGGGCAAACGTGGCAAGCCAAGATACGCCAGTTGTTTGACCAGGTAAACTGCAGATAGTCCCGCGTGAAGACAAGAGAAAAGCTGTCTACAGGCAGACAGCAGATTCCTGTGCATTATCACACCACCTACAAGTAAGGGAGGTAATCATAGAACTTACCACAACTGGCACATCTGGGATATCCAAATCCTAACGAGAGAAGACACCATATGAAAACTTAGCCACATTTGTGTTTAGTTCTTGTTTACGAGACGACACTTCAAAACAACCAAGGGAAAAGAAAGGCTTATAGAATAAGCCCCGGGGCTTATATTTTTCAAAGGCCCTTTTTGAGGAGCTTATTTTTGGAGGGGCTTATATTCGGAGGGGCTTATGTACGGAGGAAAATTTGGTGTTTCAAAATCGATTGGGCTAGCTTGTAGTGGGAAGGAAATTTACCATTTTTGCTTTGTTTTACTTTGTATTCGAGGGCAAATTCCAAGTACAAGCCCCCCGGGGCGGCTTATATTCGGAGGGGCGATTTAAAGGAGGGTTTTTTGCGTTACGATTTTGGGGGGCTTATATTTGGAGGGGCTTATACAAGGAGGGACTTATTTTCGGAATTTTACGGTATAACACTGAAGAGTTACGGTTAGAGAGGGCAGAAGAGAAACATCCGTGTGCCCCTCATTACAGAGCTTCAATTACACTATTTTTTGTTCTAAATCACATCTGTTCTAAACCGCATCATTTTGTTTTGCATTAAAAAATGAGATGTAAAAGCGTTCCCAATTCCAAGTTTGAACAAACTGGCTACTGGATCAATAAAATATGGTTCCGACTAAATTTTGCGATTTCAACATGGCTGTAATTAAGTGGTACAAGTAACTGAATTTCATGTCGTGTAATTTCTGTCTGAAATCATACTTGTGATTTTAAATCAAACTCGCGCTCTGCGGTCGTAGATTTCAAAATCCTGCGAATGATTTCAGACCAAATTGCACTCCAATGAATTCAATTACCATTAATTATTTTATTAAACAGGCTTCCTTGTCGATTAATTGTATATGTTAGCGCGACTTACTTCTGGTCTTAACGATGGTCTTTCTTGTCTTCGTCCAGTAAAGTTAGCCACCAGCTCCCTCTTCTTCCGCAATGTATTTTGACGGTAGTACAAAAACTGGAAGAATTAAGGAAAAAGAGTAAAACTCTTGAGTTGCATACATGGCGAAAAAACGTCTAACACAGAGAGAGCTTTCTCGCCGGATATGCCCAAAACGGGGTTTTCTTGTGAAAAGAGCCCTTTGAGGAAAATGTGTAGAGACTCAAGTAACATGGAAAGTGGATCACGACTGAACTATAAAGCCATCGACGGGAGTTTTATATCAACATCATTTTCCCACTTAAAGGGCGAGGGCAAGAAAAAAAATTGCTCTTTTCCACTCTCCATCTCCCGCTCTGAAGCCTATTATAATACGTACACTCTCTATCTGAACAGGTTCTCTCCAGTGGCGGATGTATGGGAGGGTCTCGAGAAGGCCGAGCCCCTCTTCATTTATAGGCCAAACTGAGGTAGGCAGGGCCAAGATCTTAAGGGCTGGATAAGCGTTCTACCCCCTCCCACCTATAAACACTTACTTACAGATCTGAACCTGCCACTGCTTTCTTTTACTCCAGGTGTTAGACAGTAAGACTTATATACAATCTAACTTTTCAATCTGTAGAATAAGTATTGTAGTGTAATCATTCAACTTCTCCAGTAGTACCCATGCATAGCGCGTTGTGTTTTTCAATAACAAATTATAAAAACCACATTTTTCCTTTGGTCACTACAGAAAGTAAGAGAGTTCAACTAACGTCATCTTTGCGTAGCACGATCCATCGGCGCCAACATTGATTATCAGTACGGTTCCCAATGGCTCGTGCAATCTTGGACCAGTTTCCTGCCAAAAATGAATAAGAAGTAGCATCTAGCATGCGTCACAGACTTAAACAGAAGTCTAGTTCTGTCTGTGGCAAAGGCTAGTAGCATCGAGAAAATATAAACCTGAGGATAAGGGATTAAATGGAAAATAAAACCCCTGCAGTGACTATAGCAGAGAGCTCCAACTGGATCTAACGGTCATAAAAGACAACTTGCTGCTTACCTTGACCAAATTTCTCCACATTCTCAAGCAACTTTTGATCCTGTATTTTGGTCCACGCTCCTTTGTCTATTTTAGGATCCAAGGCATTCACCCACCTACAAAAATAATGACACAGTTGGAAAAGAAAATAAGATAACACACATCCTCGAATGAGCGCCACCGTCCCTAAGCGCCCTTCTCCGAATTACAGCGAACCCCTTTGTGCTTTGGCCAAAAGAGTAAAAAGCGCACCCTTCCCTCCCTTTCTAAAGAGTAGAGCCCGAGGAAAACGCCGTACTTAACATGAGCCGAACTTAACTGACAGTTTTTGTCCACCTACTTCGGCTGCTTGGTCAAACAGCCGAATTTGATCTAGCCAAACTATGAATTGTAAAACGGGTCTTTTGCTAAGAGGCTTTGCAAGAAAGATTCAGTCGAGTTCAGCTCACGTGAAGTAGCCTCTAATTTATAAGAACATTTTTTATAACAACGTTCAGCCTGAAATTTACCAAAATATTAAGAACATGCTAAGAACATACCCGAGGCTCAGAGAAGAACAATTTATTTTTCACCGCTTTTACTTTCGTAAATCCAGAAAATCTGAATTACATAATGTGCTACATGAAATCAGAGTGCACGTAAAATTTTGTTCTTTCAACACATCCGTATAGTGTATGGTCAATAATACATTTACATTGTACTGGTACAATTCATTAGTGTGAAAACGCTTTCAATCTCTTTCTTATCTTGTCTTTGTTCAGCTTAAAAGTTATCACATTTCCGTTATCAAATTTAAGAACATCTGTAAGCACATTTCCAGGCTGAAACTGCCCAGAAAATAAGAACTGTCCAGGCTCAACTCGAAAACGGACGGTCTTATAAAAAAAAGGAGTGTACGGTGTTTCACCCGGCCCTTAGGATTTCACTAGAAGTCCGCTCTTGTGAACGCAGGTATCAATGTGAAGGCAGATTCGTCTCCGTTACACCCTTGTGTTTTGACAAATGACATGCAGAGGTTTAAAGGCCAAGTAAAGCTCCAGTAACAAGAAACGGCTAAAATATAAGTAATACATCAAGGATGAGACGCAGTGTTTTATCACCGATGAAACAATGAGAAGATAGTTGAAAATACGACGCGCAGCAGAGTATTTTGGACGAACTTCGAGGTGTTTTCATCTGATGATGAAACACTGTGTCGAATGCTTGATATTACTGCTCGAACAAAATGATTTTAGAAGTAGAAATTAAGGATGCAAAAATGAGCAGTTTTTCACCTGATTTCCAAACACTCATTAAACTTTAATTTCCTTTGTATTTTCTTTATGAATTATTTTTAAAAAGTTTGAGAACCTGAGATCAGGCCCAATTTTAAGAGTTCTCATACATTCTCTCTTTTGTGGTCGAAACGGAAATAGAGCCTGATCTCAGTCGTCAGTTTGACGGCCGTGAACGGAATACAAACCTTTCTCTACACTGTGGTCCTGACCGGCCAGGAACCATCTCGGACAGCTTGTTCCAACTTGTTCCGTACTTCTCAATTGCTTTTCTAAGAAGCTGGAAGCAAAGAAAACACATTTAATTCATTTGGCTATCGAGTGGAAAGCAAAACAAAAGGAGAGGAACGAAACAATAAGTCAAGATCGCACAGCCCTAATACGTTAACCCTTTAACTAAGAGTGATCAACACCAATTTTCTCCAAACAATATCCATCACGCTGATACACGATCAAGAGATAAGGTTATTAGGATTAATAAAATGATCACCAAAGGGAAAACGCTTTGGATAAACAGTTTTATTTTGTTCAGTAAGCAATGCGGTTCTCCCACGAAGACTACTTCTACATAAAGTCAAGTCAAGTCAACTTTAGTTAGGCAGGGTAGCCCTATTAGCCACTGGCTGGCATCAAAAGGGGCCCTGCGTTAATTATGGCTACATGATAAAAAATGGAAATTATGTCAAAATTATGTACAAGGATTTCTAAAGTGACTAAAGGGGAAATTACATATCTTCATAAGAATCACAATTTGTTTAAGATTAAGACAAATTAGGGAGCTACCGCAAGTTACATAAAGTATATTAATAAGAAAAACTGATGGCTAAAATCAAGTCTAAGAAGGGTCTTTTAAATGAAAAGCGATGTAGCTTCTTTTGGTGATGCAGGTTAATTATGAAAAAGAACCGCACCTGAACATCTAAACGTGTTTTTTCCTAGTGTTAACTTTGAGTTCGGTAGATGAATGCCGTTCCTTTGTCTTGTCTTGTAAGTGTGAATGATGCGATTTATAATAAAATAATCCGATAAATATGGCGGAACTAATTCAGTTAGACATTTAAAAACTAAAATGCATTTGAGGGCTTTCCTTTTAGCCGAGATTACCTCATCTTCCTCCTCTGTCCACTTGCCTTTCCTTACCATCTGTAATGTCTGAGTATAACGGTGCATACACTGATCTCCTTGACGACCTTCTAAGAAGCTAGCCACTGCAAGATTAAAATATGAACACTTGTTCATAGTCTAGACGCTTCCGGCCAAGACGGTAGAGAGGAGAAGTGTGACGTCACGTTACCATGGTAGCAATATTTCAGGATCTCAATAATGGAGACCTTTAAATTCTAAGATGACTACGACTACGAGTACTAAATTTTTTTCAATACTCGCGCGTGAACCAGCGTCATTTTGGCGGGAAAACGTCGTCATTCTACTACGAGTTTTAGCGAGAATGTCGTGGTAGCGGAAACAAGTTATAAAGTGTTAGAGGTTTTATCATAACAGTGCTAATGTTTTTGGCTAAAAAGAAGTATAAGGAAGCTTTACTGAAGGACGTTGAAGGAAGCTTTATTGAAGCACGTTAAAGGAAGCGGTCCAAACTCCTCGATTTTTGGCAGGCAACTCTATGACCTTTTTTCCCCACCGTTCTCGTCCTCAGACTCCTCACCGGAATTACCTGCAGAGGAGGCTAGGTCCGGGCAGGGTTCGAACCCGCGACCTCTCGCTCCCCCAGACCGGCGCTCTCGCAACGGAGCTAACCAGGCGGCGGTAAATTGGCTATGACGACTCAAAACGTCATTCTTCTAAGGTTGTAAGCTTTCAAATTTTCTTTTTTTTCAGTCCGTACTGTGACCAGTTCACAAGTTCCGCCGAAATTGACCAAAATTACCTGACCTAGCTCATCAAATATTAGAACCAGCTCCTGCCATGTGCGACAGGCAACAATGATTAAGGTTCATAGTTAGGCCAGATTGCATTAAACGATCTTTTTAGGACATCTTGTTGTCACTAAAAACTATGATAAATTTTGATGAACATACCTCTTGCCCAGTTCCCCACTCCAACAACACGCACCACATCAAGAAGCAGTTTGTCATCCTCTGGAGTCCACTTGCTAAATACATGACAAAAGAAAACCAATAAAGTCCATGGAGCACTAGCGTAAAGCCCCGTGTAAATGGACGCAACATTGTTGGCCAACAACTCCCAACATTGTTGGATGTTACATGTTGCATTCGTTTGCACACCCTGTTTTTAGATGCATTTTACAGTACTTTTTACCACGAAAATGAAAGCTTTCCTCCGTTCATGAGCGCATTATAAATATAAGAAGTGACAAAGGAAAACCAAACGTGAAGAAAAGGTCAAAAATGCCACTTTGGGGGTTTTAGGTTTGATGACTGGTTTGTGGGACCTGAAAGATATTCTTAATTCGCGCTAAAATCGTTCTAAAAATAAACTGGCCAGTGAAAACGCCGTGACACGAGCACATAAAAATTGTTCGCTCCGGGTAATGGGCTCCTGATTACAAAGTATAAAATAAAATTTGTGAAATTCACGTATCCCAGCCAACGCCTTACGATTCCCTCGCCTGCTCAAACTCATAACAATTTTAGTTATTAATGTCCCAACCCTATCTCCAATTTGGCGTGCAGATCCGTCAATACTCCACAAGCATTAAGATACAATAAACTCGAATTTTCGCTCCAAGTTGTCGTGAGTCACTGACCGAAGAAACTTCATTGTCAGGTTTTGAGAATTTTTAGTTTAACCCTTTAGGTCCCAAGAGTGACCAACATCAATTTTCTCCCAACAACTTCAGTAGATCATCAAGAGTAAAGGTTATGAGAATTACTAAATTGATTTTCACAGGGAGAATGCTTTGATCTTAAACCAAATTCTCTCAACTGTTCTTAAAAAAAATGCGTGGAGATCAGTCTGGAGAATTTGTATGTGGATCTTGGGGGCTTAATCGGTTAAATCAAGGGGAAAATGTTTAGTTAAAAAAATCAAAACAAGCACGGACGTCAAGGGTAAAACATTGAAGAAGTAGATACCAGAGACGCGTTTTATAGCTTTACCTCTTCAGAAGATTCTTGTTCAAACTTCTTTGGTAACGTTCATAACAGTGTATAGGAGTTCGCTTGGTCTGGGAACACAGAGTTAATGTACAAGGCACGATTGAAATTAACTTTTTTAAACGACAGCATCAAACAAGTAAAGATAAAACACAACAACGAAAAATTGGACAGCTGCGCACTAAGTTTAAAAAAGAATGGAAGTCCTGTCTTCTAACCAACCAAATCTGACCTGAGTATATGTTCTATCACTGATATTATTTGAGATTTTATTCCACTCTTTACTGCTGCCAATTATTTCAATATGACGGTGTCCAACAAGAAAGCTCTTGCTACTTTGGACACCATACACAAATGAACTTAATATCTTTTAGTTAATTTTTGTTTGTAGCTACTTTATTTTCCTACTATGTACACTTATGTAAATATCTTGTATAGTGTGAATAAAGAATTGAATTGAATTGAATTGAATTGACAGTGGTCTTAGCAAGGATTTAAGTACGATGACACCCCTTAGGGGTGCAAAGAAAACCATTTTTACAGCTTACCATTCGGGCAAGCTGAAGCTAGTATTTACTAACCCAGACGTCCTTTCAACTAGCCCCAAAAACATTTTGACTAGCATAATTGATTACACAGTTCTTCTGTTGTTCGAATTCCTCAAAAAACATCACCAGCTCAATATTTTTTTTGCAAAATCCACTAGCCCCGGGCTATCGGACACTACTTTCTTTGCCCGCTGTTTAAAGAAGCTGTTTATCGAAGCCATTTCCAGGAGTTTCACATAGTGATGGGGTGGCACAAGAACCTTTGTCTTCTTGGTGCCATCTCCACTATCTGAACGACTGGAACAGATGGGCTGCCCTTTTCGGCTTCTTGGTACACGAAATATCCTAATAAAATCAAACCTTCCGTGAAGGTTAGTCCAAGATTTGATGGTTGCTTACGGGAGTTGGTCGCTTATGAGAATTCCAGCAAGAGTTCTTTGACTGAGAAAACGGATTTTAAGAGACAAGAGGCAAAGAGTTGGTCTGTCCTGTCACAGAGGGTGATCAGACGAGGACGGGTTTGACTGTGGGGGTTTGGTATTTGAATAGGTAGCCGCTTATGAGACATAGAGGTGGTCTGTCAAAGGAGGCGGTCAGCCAATGACGTTTGACTTAATAGTGCTTTAACTGAGAAAACATATTTTGGTATTTTGAACAGGTGGTCGGTTATGAGACAGGCATATGGTCTCTCACAGGGGAAGGTGAGAAATCTGAGAAAACTGTGATTTTGGTGTTGCTTGTTAAAGGTCTTATAAGAGGTGACCACACACGGAGGCTTAACTGGATTTTGTCCAGGTACAAGTTATGAATATAAGTTACTAACCTGGAGGGTTTGTGCAATATCAACCCAGGTCATGTTAGGATCCTTAGCCAACTGCAGAAGCTTCTTATCTTCATCTTTAGTCCACGGGGTTCGGTTCACATCAGGGTGATCAAAGTTGCACCACTGTAAGCGACACTGAAAACTAGTTCGTTTTGGCACCTACAACAGAGTAACGTAAAGTAATAAGGATAAAACAAGTTCAACAACTACGAAACAATAAGAAAAGTGGTGAAATAACATGGCCAAAGAAACAAAACGTCAAGACTAACGACGAATCAGCGTTGAGGCAGATAAATGTGACAACTGAGGCAATAAATTGTAAAATTAAACGACATAGGAAAGTCTAATACCAAGTTTGTATGTGAGACCATATGGTTGGGTTAAAAACAGCTACACACCAAAATGAGAGAGTTAATCATAAGGATTATTAAAATAACAACAACAATTGTTTCAAAATAAGAAATACCTACTACCGATAACAGAAATATGCCCCATGATCTTGGCACAACATCTAAGATAACAGGATATAGCGTCACTTGGGTAAAGGTGCTGATTTGTTCTTCTCCCCAGTTACATTTTATCGCTTAAGGATCAGTATGACTTAGATAATTATGAAAAATCATACAGACTGTTAGTAAGTACAACACCTGATAACAAGCTCTCTATGGGAATTATTACTTACATAGATGCTGCTTATTTTGTCCCAGTCAATTCCCTCCAAATCATATGCAAGTTTGTCTTTTGGAATGCTTCTGAAATTTTACGAGAAAGCACAAGAAAAATATTATCGTGGTAGTTAATTTATTTTGTAGTTTTATTAGAAAATTCCTGCCAAGATTGCTACACACTTTCATGGTTGAACATTCAGTGATAAAGCAGGATAACGCAAAA